TACCACAGTAGTGGAGAATATAGGCAGAACAATCCCCCCAAAACAGCAGCCCTTAAGTTAACAATTTGGAGTAACATTCTAAGTGTTTGAAAGAAGTCATAGAATAAATCTAACAGGGATTATGTAAATTAATGTTTTAGTTTGTGTAGTCAGAGCAACATTTTCCTATGTGAAGAAATTACTACACCATGATTAAGAACTAGTTTATCCTAACACAATGCAAAGGACCAAGAAATTCATCAATGTGTACATAAAGCCAAGGTGAAATAGATAATGGAGTAATTAAGCTTTTTTTCTCCTCCACTCTGAAATCTTATTGTTATAGTGAATTTAAATAGCTAAGGGGATTTTGTTTGGTTTTGTTTTTCTTTTTAATGGGATTGCAAATGAATGAGCTCCATATGTGAAGAGTTGGAATGTACTGTTAAAGCAATTGTTGCTTAGTTACCTCATGTTTAATGAGGTTGTGAAGTGGCTGACAGTGAGTGATCTCACTCGGCACATCACTGATGCTTCTGAGCTTCCTCCTGTACCTTGGGGTTTTGGTGGTTATCTGTTAGGCTCTTCCTCTGCTTAAATCACACTTCGTAGGCTGAAGGTTGGCACAGCACTTAAAAGTCTGTGTTGCAGAAGAATGGAAGGAAAAAACCCTGATGACCTTAGAGGAAAAGCAAACGTTTATGAAAAACTTGTGCAGTGCATTGCTGTTGAATGAGATGTTACTGGAACTGACAGGGATGTTCCACTCTGAGGCCTTTTTTCTTCCTTTTACCCACTCGTGTGCAATATATGCCACTTAAATACATTGCAGTTCAAATGAAAGGTACCTTTGCCCTCTGAAGATGATGCAAATTCTAACAGATTTAATTTTCATGGAAGCAAAAATATTTTTGTGTATCTTTTACTTCACCCTCTGGTTTGGATACACTGGTGCTGTTTGTAATTGGGATTAAACCTGTACTTGAAACATACACATACATGATTTAAGATTTGTTTTCAGCTGAGAGAGGAACTGATGTTTTGTTGTTCAATTGAAGTTAGTCTTTCAGCCACAGTTTTGTTTCAGGCTCATTACAGGATTCTGTATGATCCTCAGTGTCATTTTGCTATTTGTGCTGTTAAAAATAGCTGCTTTGAAACAGGTACATGTTCAAACCAGAGAGGTTCTGTGTCCAGTGTTTGCTTTGGAAATGAGTAGTTCTCTCTCTATATATATATTTATATATATCTCTTAATATCTTTATGAAAATTTTGCCATTTGAAGCAGTTTTTTGCCTGATTTTTAACAATGCCATCAATTTCAAATGCCAGTCCAAATTCCAGGTGTCTTTTAGAAACTGAACACAGCAGCATTTCAAGCTGTGAGTGGAGCTGAAAGGCCCCAAGGCTTTTTTGTACCTATTTTATATTTCATGGGTTGGGTTCTATTAATTGTATCACTGATAAAATATGGAGTAGTCAAAGAACAAACAAGTTGCTATTGATCTGCTAATACTTGCTCTGGAGGAGTTTTTGTTGTAGGCCAAAGTGGGTCATTTGAATGGGAAAGTATTAATTTCCCACCTATGAATCTTTCACCATTTAAGATAAATGTGGAATTAGCATCTCTTAAAACCAACAAGGAAAGTAACTGCAGTGCAAAGCAGTTTTTACCTGTCAAAACAATGACCTTCAAGGCAGATATTTCCCAAACACAGAAGTGTTGTGTCAGTGTGGTGTTGGTGGCTGATGACAGGGATTCTGCTATTCTGTAAGAGCCTAAAAAATTGCTGTCAGATTTGAAAGTGCATAAGTCAATGTGAGGAGTAGGTATGGTGCTTTAGCAGCCCAAGGTAAGAACATATGTGAACCATTCCAGGAGAGTTACACATTCCTCGTTTGGCAGGGAAGAGGGAGCTCTGGGATCACGAGGAGACACTTTGCCTTGATTCGCTGGGACCTGCTCATGACACCTTTGAATAAATCAGTGTTGGTAGTTGGTGAATTTAGTACTTGGATGTGCTAAGAGCATTCCTGTTCCCCCTAGTGCAGTTCTCAGGGACGTTGAGGTCCATGGTAAGAGCACACACTGTTCTGTGCTGCAGGTACAGCTGTGGAACTGGCAGTTGTGAGGTGTCTCCAGGTGCCTGTGAAACTGGCTCAGAATCTTAGACTTTTTTCTAATAGACATGTTGAGACATGGTGATCAGTTTTTCTTTGAAGCCTGATCACTAAAAATACTACAAGTATATTGTGGATCACTCAAGCAACCAGTGTACCCAGTTTATCAGTTGAGCTTGGATTAATGTATATTCAAAACCTTTGGGAAAACAAGAGGTTGTTGGAAAGTGTTTTTTCATGATGTGGGAGATAAATGTTATTCTTCATGCAAGGATTTAAGAGAAGCTTTTCCCTGAGCACAATACCCAGACATCCTCAATATTCACAGTACAACTGAATCTGAACCACAAGTATTTTCTTCTTCCAAGGTAATTTTTTCTTCCTCTTCATTTGTGTCTGCCCCCACCCAACTATTCAGTATTGTATATGGCAACTACAATATTTGGTTACATGAAAAACACACAGCATCATTTGGACTCTTCATCTCTCCTAGTCTGTACAAGAATTTCCTCATTCCTATTTTCCATAAATTCTGTGACTTTTCAAAGGAGCCTTTGAAAATGTTGAGATTTTGATCAGACTTCTTAAAGGTCTTTTAAAATATTGCTCTGTATGTTAGGCTAGTATTAAACTAAGAAGCAAATATTAGACATAGCTTCAAGTGGCTGAAGCATAAGCATCATCTGCTGTGGAGTGGGTCCCCTTGAAAAGGGGGAGGAGTGGATAGCAGGAGCTCCATGTTACTCTAGCTTGTCTTTCTGAACAAGAAAAACATTCAGGAAGGCTTGAACTGCTCTTACTCAGCTGCTGTTCCTGTGATCAGCATGTACCTGAGCACTGGACACTCAATTTATGCACAGCACCATGAACAGGAACAGCTAGAACTGCCTTCAGAAATACAACAGCAAAATGTATTACTCTTTGGGTTCTTTAATTACACACTTCCTCCTTAGTACATTGAACCGTTCGAATTTCAAAATACTCTGTTTTCTGAATCATTGTGAAATCAGTTCAGGCCAAAGTCCTGATTTTTCACAAGGCTTGTGAGGAGCTCTTCCCCTTCCCATAAAACAATTTCTGCTGTTCCATATTGCTCCGTGGTTAGAGCATCATTCATCCATCCAGACTGCTGACTTCTCTCTTGGCACCCGAAAAACACGGGGTTACATTCAGGTGTGTCTGTAACTGTGTCAGATTTGACTGTGTCAGATGTTGACATGGGTCTCCTAAGCAGTATGTGTTTGCATTCAGTTTGTCTGGGGATTTATTTTCTGGACATGTGGAGTTTCTCAACAGTAATTTTGTTTCTTCTGCCTGGTAAGTGTTGAGCTGCAGGCAGTGAGCAGCTTCATTTGATTAATGAAGCACTTCTTCCACAATCTTTTTTTTTTTTTTTTCTTCAGTATAAATCACTGCACAATCAAATGTATTGGAATATTCTGTAGTTTGTACTTAAGCAAAATCTAATTTAAGCTGATAATTTTCACACAAATGATGTGCAAGCAAGAAATCTTTAGGCTGGGAGAGCAGCCTCAAATCATTCATGCTGCAGAGAGTTTTTGCCCAAGTTGTCAGCTCGTTAGATGTCAAGAAGTTGCTGCAGCCTGGTGAGCTCATCCCTCCTTTGAACCCGCGGCTTGGAGCAGATCTAGGTCTCCCTTTTCCCAGCAGCAGGAAAACAGGGAGAGGCTCCAAATCCTGCTGGCTGTGCCCGGCAGCTTCACACCTCGTGCTATCAGTTGCCCTGGGAGTGCTCTGTCAAGGTGAAGAGTCAGTGCTGAGTGATTGTCTTACAGAAAGATCCGAAGAGGCTAGATGGTGTTTTTTTTTCTAGTTTCCTCTTTAAAAAAAAATTCTTTATCTGCTGTTTGTGATTGTATATAGATCTTTTCAAATCTGATGCTATGGCAGTGAAATAGTGTTTCTGAGTGGAGATGTCCTTTATAATTCCAGGCTGAAAGGTTTGAAATACGATGTAGGGGTGTGGAAAATACATGCAGTGATAACATTTTTAGGACAAGGGGAAGGGAAAGGGCACCTGCTAAGCTTACTTGACTACTTAACCTTGTGTATAGTTTATTTTCTTGATGTTCATGAAGTTAAATCAGGCTGGGCTGCTGTTCCCTCATGGCCAGTGCCGGTTAAAGGGGATCCATTTCCCAAAAATATTCCACGTTGACAATGAAGTGGATGACTCACGTGTAAGATAAATGAGATGTGCTGGGGAGAATGGCAGATCAGAAGCTGTGGGAGGAAATACTCCACAAACTGCTGGGATAATGAGATGTGTAACTAATGCGAAAAGGGAAATAATAAAGGACTTGGGGTTTAGATATTTACAACAAGGAACAGAACCTCTCTTCTCCTGAAAGGAAAGGCATGGAAATAATCACTGGTTTTGTCAGTCACCTCTGCTAGATAAATGTCTCTGAAACCAGAGCTGGGGCTGGTGGGAAGCTTCCCTAACGTTGCTTTCTCAAATGCCACTTTGCAGCTTTGTTTACTGGTGAAACTTAATGAGCAGTGAATGTGGGGTCAGGCAAGCTCAGAGTATTCCTGCTTAGAGCAGGGGGGAAAAGACAGCGAGTCCTCAGCAGGAGTTTCTTAGGTATCAGCGAGCGCTGCTCCTTCAGCAACTGCTGGATTTATTTTTAACCGCTTGACTCACTCTTTGTCAGATGATTGACCACCGAGCCGCGCATTGAAACACGACTGTGCAGGGCGAGCGAGGGGAGGGAGAGGGAGAGGGAGAGGGGAGTGTCTGGCTGGGAAGAGAGGTGGGATTTGGAGTCGCTTCCCACGCTCGGGGCGGGATGGGGACAGCCAACGCTCCTTAGGCTGCGCCACGAGCCGCGGCGGGATCTGCTCTGCTGGATGCGAAATCCTAAAGGATTCTCACCATGATCGATAGCTCCAAGAAACAGCAGCAGGGCTTCGCCGAGATTTTACCCGCAGGAGATCTTAAGCCACTGAAGGAGAAGGAATGCCTGGAGGTGAACAGCCAGAAGAGTCTGAAGGAAGGTCAGTCACTACTTGCTGGTTGGGGGATGGAAAAGGCACGAGTGCTGGGTAAATTCATGCAGGAGTGCTGGGTGAATTCATGCACCAGTGCTGGGTAAATTCATGCACCAGTGCTGGGTGGATTCAGTTTGCCAGCATGTGTGGTGTGATCACAGAACCACAGAATCAACCAGGCTGGAAGAGACCTCAGAGATCATCAAGTCCAACCCTACTGTGGTTACTAGACCATGGCACTAAGTGCCACATGCTGGAGGTCATTAAATTAAGATACATTAAATGAGGTATTGTTTTCCCTCTTCAAAAAATTTAGAAAGCAAAATTTCCATTTTAGCTAAGGCTATTAAAATAATGATGCTGAGAGCTTGATAGAAACTGTAGTATGGAGGAAAGTGAGTCTTTTCAGAGGATCATTTAGTGCTGGATTAATGAAGGAGTCTGAAATTGTCCTGTAAGTATTGCACAAAATGCTTCAGAATGGCCCTATCAAAATAAATATAATGAAGTAGATGTCATTAAATGTGACATGTCGAAATAAAACCTCACAAACCATTAGTATTAGACATATCACTGCCTCATTTTCAGCAGTGCTTTTCTCAGCTCCTCTCTCTCTCTGGAATTCCCTTCTCTCCTCGTGCTTTAAATTAGATCTGACTCCGTGAGATGTATGTTGTGCAAACCACGTTGGCTTCTTCAAGGATTGTATTTAGAGTTGATATAATGCCCAGACATTAGTTTGTAAAATAGCAATAGTCTGAGAATGTTTGGGGCATTATTTAAAGGTGGCAGATAGTATGATGAGAGTCATTTAAAGCAGTGTTGGTTGGGCTGAGGCAATAATGCTGCTGAGACAGGGAAATTGTCTTACTCCTTGTAGCAGGCAGTGTTCTTCCAGCTAGCCTGGGCTGAGGAGGAGAAGGAAGAGCCCTCATGAGTCCACCAGTCTGTGAACTGGTGTGAGTTAACATCCCCAGCTCCTTGCAGCTCTGGACTGGGCTCCAGCTTCGGAATCAGTCAGACACAAACTGTACTTGCAGTAGACAGAATTCCTGCTTTCCTTTTTCAGCACTCTGCCTTGGCTTTTCCTCCAGATATCTCTGGATTGTCTGGTGATGCAGAGATTTCTTCCTTGGTGTTGTGGCAAGACTTCTGCACAAGATTGTGCCTTTTTCAGTTTAAATGCTGGGTTTGTTTTGGGGGTTTGTTCATTTGTTTTTCAATCTGGACTTTGATAGTGTTTAAAATGGCATAAAGATAGACCATGTTCAGTATTAAATTCAGTACCTGACTGTTTAGTTTAAAAAAACATGTTAGCTCTAAGAGCTAGAGAAAATGGTGATTTTTTTTTTTTTTGTGTACTGATGTACTGATACCAAAGGTCTCTTACTGATTAGAAAGATCAGAAGTTTAGTGTTGCTGCTTGTGGCCATGGCTGAGAGCAGAACAGCTCTGCTTCCTTTGGAGCAGGAAAGTTCTGACTGGAAGTGATTGGAAGAAAGGGCCAACAGTGGCTGCTTTTTCATGGTGTTTTTGTCATGCAGCTCCAAACAGGCCCAGTTAAAGCTGCTGCTGCTACCTCCAGGGGGCAAGGAAGAAAGAAAGGAGTGAGGAAGTTAAGATGGA